AAAGACATCAACCGATTCCCCATCCTTCTGCTTCTCATCCAACAACGTGCCGATCGAGACTTCTGTGTCATCGTCAAAGAAATTGGTGAGGAATAACTCTTCCATGTTTGCCCAGTTAGTGATACTCCCAGGCTTAAGGCGTCGGTACCAATCGAAGGCAGGCCCGCGAAGGGTTCCTACGAATGACCGGACCATCAAGGCTTCGTTCCCAGATATTGCGCCGAGATGCGACTTGAAATAGATCAAGTGCTGAGTTGGTGAACCCCTGCCATCAAACGGAGTAAAGTTAATCAAATTAAATTTCTGGGGATAAGGAATCAGGTCCCACTCCCTCGGGTACGGGTATGGGATGCCCGTTTTCTTCACTTCTTGAGCCGTCATCAAAGCGTTGACTTTGCTCTCAAGATCGTGCATCTTCTTGTCCTCTTCCTCGCTTTTCTTCAAATAGATCTGTGGAGGTTGAGTGGCTGACTTGGTCGGATCGCTTCCGGAGTTGTCTTTATCTGGAGGAGGATCTTCAAATATCGTCTCATCCTCTTCATTACGCCGACTGGATTCTGCTCTTTGGCTTGATTCCGGTTGGTGTTGCTGAACCTGCAAATCCCGCATCTGCTGCATGGTCAACTCTATTTCGGTTTTGAATTCAGCTCTAATTTCTTCGCGTTGGCATTTGAGCTAGTTGATCCGGCGTAATTGCAAATGATTCTCTGGCTTGTCCGACACTGGATGCGGTGTCGTCAGAAGCAATGGCAGAACAAGTATCTGATATTTCTTCATCTGAAGATAGCCCTTCGTGCATTTTCCTGTAGTTTCGTCGTAGGTTGGCTCTTCTTTGTAACCGCGCCATCCTTTGAGAAAGACCCCGCTCAACTCTCCCTCCTGGAGAGAAATCAGGGTCGGGATTAACAGATTTTTGCTTCCCTTTGTTGGTCATGTTAATAGTGACCTCAGGGAACTCATCTTGTCGAGTTACAGGTTTCCTTTTGTTGAAACGTCTTGCTTTGGGTCTTGACGTTTCGTTGGACAATCTTTGAAATACAGAGACTCTTGTTGAATTATCCTTAGAGCATCCGCATTCTGTCAACACTGCTTTAATGAGTCTCTCGCAAGCGCAATGAGACTCATTTTCTCGAACAATCCTTTTTCTTGAATTGTTTTTCTGATAGTACAGCTCGTCGTTATTATGACTTGAGCAACCTATCTTTTGTTTCTGAACTTTGTTAACATGCACAGGACGACTGGTCGTCGCCTCTGAACGATCCAAAGTTGAATTTTTGAATCCACCCCCTTGCTGGTGTGGAGTTTTCAGAGGTCCTAAACGAGAGTGAACTGGTATTCTCTCGTTTTGGACTTGTGCAGTTCTGACAGGAGGGTGTTTACGACCCCCTGCATATGAAACCATTAATGGTTTATTTGCCGGACATGGTTG